CCTGGATATTGGTCCGGCGGTCCTGCAGCTATGTAGCCGCCGTCGCCGCCCGGTCGCCGCAATAAGGACTGCCCCACATAGTTTGCACAGCATATGTTGCACCAAGTGCACAACAAATGTTGCACCACACAGACATGTGGAGATGTACATATATAACAAGAAATTGCAACAGATAACCCAGAACATTGATTGCACCGCACATACTACGCCGCAGAGTTTTTGTTATCACATATGCTGCACAACACAGGTTGCTAGAATACGCACACACACACACTGTTTGGGGTCCACGCTGGCTGACACGGTTTGCTGACTACATGCGTGCTTGCTGCATGCCCGTGTTCGTAGTGATAACATTTCCAGCGTGAGTCTGGCCAACGCGTTAGCAATCAAATCCCTTGCTACACGAAGGGGTGAAATAAGAAGGAGCGAGAGAATATGCATCCGGCTCCCAGTCTACACAATATAACAGCCACGAATCATCCGTCCATCGTCAGCGTGATCACCAGTGAGGCCTGATTCGGTATACAATGCAGAGATCCCTCCGCATCGGCCAGGCGATGCAACTACAGCCTCGGGAACCTGATCGGACAAGAACGGGAAGCGCCGCTTCAGTCTAATGGGCGCATTGGGCGAAAAAGAAGAAAAGGAAGGCGAAGGCGACGAGGAGGCGATGACGAGGATGACGTGGAGAACGCGAGGGTAGCGAGGAGCATGAGGACAACGAGGAGAAAGAGAAGCACAAGGACGAGGACGAAGAGAGCGAGGGCGAATCGATGCAACTACAGCCTTGGGAATCCGCCACCGTGCCTGCAAGATGTGGGCGCGTGAGAACGCAAGGTGCTGCTCGGTAGTGTTTTTTTGTACCCTCACAGAAGGACCCCCCCTCTGCTACCGGGCAGGCACGTGCACATCCCCTGCTGACTGATGCCACGGCCCCTCGCAAGACAACGATGGATCCGCGCCCCCGAGGCCACGATCCCTTGCAAACGCGATCACGTTTAGGTCGGGCATGTCCTCCTACAGGCGGGCTTTGGAAGAAAAATGTGACATAGTCCATACATCATCAAAAACACTCAAACATAATCGAAACATCGTCCCCAGACGATCTGTTGACTTGTTTTGAAGATTCCTCCTGCAGAGGGACATGCCCGACCTACAGCTGCGTGTCCGCGCCCCGCGCCTGCACGACGGCCCAGGCAGGCAACCAGGGCAACCAAGATGGCTCAAGATGCCTCGGAGACGGGCCAAGATGGTCCCGAGGCGGCCGAACATGGCGTCAAGACCACCCAAAATGCCTCCAAAAAGGCTCAAAAAGAATCTCAAGAGAACCTCGAACAAGGCCCGAAGACACCGACATTATTGGTTTCCCTATGGATAAAATGTGTCTTATGCATTCTCGCCGGTTCGGGCTTCCGTCAGCTCAAGACGGCCCGAGAAGCCCGTCAGCTCAAGACGGCCCAAGAAGCCTCCACAATGGCCCTACGACGGCCTAGAGGCCCCCGGCCCAAAGATGGCCCAAGAAGACCCCGCGAGGGCTCGAGAGGTTTCCAAGACGGCCCCAGGACGGCCCAAGAGGGCCTCCCGTAGGGCCCAAGACGGCCTCAGAATGCCCTTCGACTGCCTTAGACAGCGCCAAGACGTCCCCAAGCCGACCCCACGACAGCACCCACACACCCGGCATACTGCCAAGAGGGCCCCAATACGACTCAAAAGAACTCCAAGATGGCCTGAGAGGGCCCGAGGACGGCCCAAGAGGGCCCGAAGGGACCCCCAAGAGTGCCTCACAAGAAGCCCCGACAGCTTCAAGACTGTCCAAACGGGTTCCACGAGAACTCCCGGAAAAACGAAGACGAAAAGTGTCGCGCGTGACGGCAATCCTCTTCGTCCTCCTCCTCCTGCTGCTGCTCCTCCTCCTCCTCATGACGGCTCTCCCGAGCCTGGAGACACGAGGTGTCACGCGGGACGGCCTGCCGTGCTGTCCCGAACATTCGCCACCCGGAATGCCGGGCTGGCACGGCAGCGGGTCCTGTCGCAGCCATGCGGGCATTTCTCCGAACGCGACGCCGCTGCCCCGAGAGCACTTGCAAGACAAGTGCATGCTGTTGGGCCCTGGCCACACACATGCTGTTGCGCCCCAGCAGCGTGCATCCTGTGACAACCCAACCACATAAACCGATCGTTTGGGAGGCTTGGTCGGGCGCCAATCCTGAGACATCCTCAAACCTCGCCTGGTCTGGCCGCCCTTGGTTTGGCATGGTTTGGGGCTAGTTTCGCCTGAGATGTGCTCACCATTTGCTTGGTTTAGTTTGCTGTCGGCGCGGTTTCGCCTGAGACGTACTCTCAAATTGCCTGGTTTGGCTTGGTTTCGGCGCGCTTTCGCTGGCAACGCCCTCACCATTGAGTTGGCTTGGTCAAGTAAGCGATGCGGTTCTGCCTGAAACGTGCTCATGCTTTCCGCGTCTTGGCCTCAGTTGCGAAATGTAAGCTATGTCACGTCAGCAATGTGATGCCAGGCACGAGGCACCAGTGATGTGGTGCAAGCTATGTGGTGCAAACCCACATCGTCGAAAGCATAGGAGCTCCAGTCATGCGGTGTGCTATGTGGTGAAAACCCACACCGTCGCAAGCTATGTTGGGTGTGGTATGTGGTGGAAAATCTCTGGTGGAATCTGTGTTGGGCAAGCAACGTGGCGCAAACCCACATCGCCGCAACGTAGGCGGTGCCAGCGATGTGGTGCAATGCAGATGGTGCAAATCCACAGCACCGCAAGCTACACGGTGAAATCTGTGTGGCGCAAAGTGAACGGCGGAAAGCTGTGTTGTTCAAACTATGCCTTGCAAGCCCACATCTCTGGCGGCGTTGGCCTGGTGTCTGGCGTTCGGAAAATATTCTCCCTTGCCTGCAATGTATTACATCATCCACTTGTTCGCCTTTTCCCCGGGGCGGCCAAGAGGGAGGCGTCCAAGAGGGGGGGGGCGCAAATCATGGCCGGCGGCATGTGCGCGGCCCCTGGGGGGGCCAGGGTCGTATTGAAATAAGACGAGGCGCCATGAATGCGGGGGAAATATCATGGCCCACGCCACGATATCCCCCCCCCCTCAGTCATCACACCCTCTCTGCCGCTCCCGATTTTCCTGATCATCTACCTCGTGGCCTGCGTGGCATTCATCTTGGTCGTCTCTTCGAGATGGTCGGCACGGTGCTTCCAAATGCCCGGCTCGGTGGCTCCCTGTATGTATGTTGATCTAGGCATGCTGACGTGCGGGCTCGAGGCTTCCTTCAGCATCGTGTCCGGGTGCTGGCCAGGATCGAGGGACTTGAATGTAGTAGCACATCTAGGTCGGGCGTGTCCTGCTTCAGGCGAATTTTGGGCGAAAAATACATCATTGTCCAACAATGTTCGAAAATATGCCAAAATAGTAGAAACATTGTCCCCAGACTAATTTGTGGCCATTTTTTGATAATCCTCCTGTAGAGGGACATGCCCAACTGAATAGAACATCGCGCAAGCTCCCTCACGTGTACGATGGTTTTGCTATGCTGCTCTCTCGTGGCGGAATCGCATCTGTGCTCCGGTATTCCCTGGTGTTGCCACTGTTCGCCGTCGCTCAGAAGGCGGCCTGTGTCATCTGCTACACAGCATGTTGCCACTCCTTACTGTTCCCTCGCTACTGCCGATTGTTATGATGGTGTTCTGATTTCCTCGATGGCGCTGCCGCCGTTTACTTCGTCACGCTCGGAAGGATGGCGTTCGAAGTGGCACACCAACTGAAAGTTCCGACTCCGCCTCCTGGAGTTTACTCGACCGATCAGCGCCCGAACCGATACTGCCGTCCACCCACTCAAGTTACGCACCCCCTACTGTGAATTGCCCGGAGCGTTGCGTAATTACGCGCTCGATTTTCTCCGGCCGGCATGTGGCAAGGCAGCGTTACGACAGAATGTAACTTTGGCTTCAAGCATAGGCACTGCTGCGGAAATCGGTTGCGGTGTTTTCTGTATTGAGGTTGGTCACAGAGCGGGCGGATTGGCAGCCAGCCCCCCGTCTACCGAACACAAGCGTAATCAATAATACATCGCCAGCGTGATCATTATTGTTTCTGATTCCCGCCATTGGACAGGTTCGCCGCTTTTTCTCTACTGGTGCACTCCTCTTCTGGAAACTCCTCAGCCCTTATGCCCCACCTTTTGGCGGCGAGCCCAGGGGGGAAGTGAGAAAGGGCGGGTCAGAGGGCTCGGAAGGCCTCGGGCCTTTCGTGAAGTTTTCTCGGCCTTCCCCGAAGACAGAGCAAACCTCTCAGAAGGCGCGAGGGTTTCTGAGAAGTCCCGCCGCCTTCTGAGAAGACCTTCTCCTTCTCCCATTCCCCCCTTCGCTCGCCTCCGAACCTCCCCCTCCAGACCCCCCTCCAGGCTCCTTCCCCCCCTTCCCCTTCTCCCCCTCTCCTCCGCCTTCTCTCCCTACTGGATCAGGGCCAGAGGGGCCAGGGCGCAGGTATAACCCCCCGCGACACTGGAAGAGCAAGAGCAGGGAGAGAAGGCACGGGGCAATGCAACTGGAGGATGAAGCGAAGGGGGGAATGCACTCATCCTTCCCACTACGCCACCACCCCTCCTTCCCTCCTGTTCCTCATTCGACCCCTCCTCGCTTCCCCCTGTCCCATCCCCTTCGTCCCCCCCCCTCCGCCTCCCCCCCCCCCCACTCCGCCCACCTCCTTCCCAGATTTATTCCTCCTCACCTCCTGCCCCCCCCACCTCACCCTCCATCTCTCCCGCCACCTCGTTCCATCCTCCACTTCTCCTTCTTCTCCTCATCCTCCTCCTCCTGCTCCTGCTCCTGCTCCTCCTCCTCCTCCTCATCATCATCATCCCTTCAACCCTCATCCTTGTCGCCGTCTTCCTCCCGTTCTCGGATGGATGTTCGGCAAACTTCCGAGCTCCCCGGAGGGTCTCAGAAAGACTTGGGATGCCTCATGGAGGCTCCGCGGAAGCCTTCGGGGGAGTCCCTGGAGGTCGCTGGAGCCAAGAGAAGGTCAAACATGTTCAAAGGAAGCGGGGAGGGCAACAGGAGGATGATCATGAGGATGAGGCGCAAAAGGACAGGGGGGATGTAAGATGCAAACGGGCCTGATCACGAGTCTCTCGAAGCTTGCGACTGCTACGGGCAGTGCTGATCAATGGCTGTTCATGTCTGTACTTCGTGTCTGGAGAGCGACTTCGCTGGGCAAAGGAGGGGGAGGGTGCAAGCAGACCTGGTCTGGCCACGAGTCACTCCAAGCTTGCGACTGCTAACGATAATGCAGAGCCATGGTTGTTCATGTCTGCACTTTGCGCCAGGAGGGAAATCCGCTGGGCACAAGCCTCTGGAGGCGTCTCTACTTCTGAGTGGTCATCTTCTCCCAGTAAGCCTCCGACAGCATGTCCCGCTCGCCCCAGATGCTTGACGTAGAAATTCAGGTACAAGGTGCCCTGCTGTGTACGTCCATGCACAACCTTCAGCTCGAGCCTACCGAGACCAATCCATTCTGGAGTCTCGTCGATATCACTTTGCGATTTGTAGTGGTACCCTCCAGGCTGCTTCGTCTCTGCCCAAGCCCCTGTCACGTTCAGCCTTTGGAAATACATATCCGAGCACTGGCCACCTAATCGCTTCGCCTCAGCCTCCACGTGAAGCAGCGTGCTCCGGGCAGGCTCCCCACGGGGAATGTGTATCAGAACGTGCCTGCCCGGCTTCATCACGTCGAACCGCTCGCCGTGGATATTCTGCAGATGGGGATCGCCAGTGGCAGCGGCCCCGCCCGAACTTGGAGCTGCGATGGGGAAGCCAGAAGCCGTGCTGGCCGCAGAGGTTGGAGCCATACCCGTACCAATACCCGTACCCGTACCAACTGCTACCCCAATGCGCCCCACCCACCATCCCATTTTGCACAACTGCCGCCCCAGTTGACGGACGCCCAAGGGCCCGGCGTGAGTCCGAGCGCACTTCCAGCTGCATCACACTCTGAAGTGGAAGAGATAGCGGCATATCCGACCGGACACGACCCGGCTGCCAGAGAGTACGCATCCGAGGGCTGAGAATGATGCTTCCGATGGATCATGATTGCTTTCACTTGCGTTCCCAATTGTACAGATGTACACAAAGCCATATGGAGGAAGTAATTGGCGGAAACCATGGTGGATGTACGTAGTAGTGTGCAGGTGTAGTAATGTGTGATTGCGATGCAGCGTCTGGGTCGAACCGAGCGCCCTGAGCTGAGATGGCTCAAGCCAGCACGGTTACGAAAAGAGCAGACGTGGGGAGACCTCTGACGTCACGTGGCCTGTTGTCAAGACGTGGCCCCCGGTGCTCTCGACACCGCTCCCAGGACTGGCTTCTCGCTGCGGCCAATTTTTTGGTGGACGGCCCTGGGGCCCGGAGAGGCTACGCGCGGAGGCCGAGATCAAGAAAGAGCGCCCATGCGATCCTGCTGTCGGCATGCCCTGGGAGTTCTGCGGGGAGTATGGGGGAGACCTAGAGCCGAACAACCCAGGGGCCCCGCGAAGCGGCGTGCACCCGCCGTTCGGGCGTGCTCCCCATGAGTTCCCTGTACGCCGAGCGCGCCACTCGTCCTTCTGTCTCCCACGTCTCACTACGCCCCACCAGCCCTCCTCCCTCCCTCCCGCTCCTCCTTCGACCCCTCCTCGCACGCCCCCTGCCCCATCCCCTCCGTCCACACCCCCTCTGCCTCCCCCCCCCCCACTCCGCCCGCCTCCTTCCCCTCACGGACCAAGTGGCGCCGTGGCGTTGCGGTACTAGACCCCCGCGACAGGTGGTGAGCTGTCCCCCAGCCATCCCTGAGTGGGAGGTGCCGCTAAAGAGGCAGTGCCCGCGGCCTCACCAGATTGCTTACCCAAGCCACCACCACCACCACTCCTCCTCACCTCCTGCTCCACCTCACCCTCCGCCTCTTCCGCCACCCCGTTTCATCCTCCACTGCTCCTCCTCCTTCTCCTCCCTCTCCTGCTCCTCCTCCTCCTCCTCCTCTTCCTCCTCCTCCATTCCCTTTCCTTTTACATAACCCCGCCCTGTCGCACCCCGAGGCCGGCAGAAAGGGTGGACCGGGCGTTTCGCCTGAGATTTCCTCATCACTTATGACCCTGGTGCTCAAAAGCTGACAACAGCCTCACAGATGGAGGGCGGGTCGTGTTTCCAAAATGTGGCTCTCGCCCTCGCGCCGCGCGCACTCGTGATAAAAAAGTTGCTAGAGCTTCACGGATTGAGGGCGGGTGGCGTTCAAAATGTTGTTTTCGACCCAGAGCCGCGCAAGTTCGTTTCTTCACTTACACATGCAGGAGTTTCACGAAATGAGGGCGGGCCATTTTCAATGTGTGGCTCTCGCCTGGGAGCCGCGCACGTTCGTTCAATGAACATTTGCACGAATTTATCGGACTAGTTAAGGGCGGGCGTTGTTCAAAGTGTGGCTCTCGCCGTAGCGCTGCGCAAATTCGTTTCAACAATTTGCTAGAGCCTTACAGATTGAGGGCAGGTCGTTTTTCCCAACCATCCTGTGGTGTTGGGTCCTCGTTTTGAAGAGACGGTGCCCCGCGTTCCTTCCTCCTTCCTCCTCCCCCCCTCCTCCCCCTCCCATCACCATCGCTGTGTTGGCGTTAAAAATGGCCTGGGCATTTTTTTCCCATTTCCAACTTTCCGCTCTTGGAGAGCTGGAAATAGTAAAAAATGAAACATTTTTTCTCATTTTTTGGTTCATTTTTTTGTCATGTTTTGCTGCCTCTGTGAGGCCGCCTTTCTGTCTCATTTCCTGGCGTTCCTCTTGTACCCCTACTATTAGGACGACGACAACGACGCCGACGATGACAATGCCGACGAAGACGTCGACGACTACTTCTACTACTGCTACTGTTACTGCTACTGCTACTACTACTACTATTGCTACTACAACGACTACTACGACGACGACTACTACTAGTACTACGTCCACTACTACTATTACTACTACTACTATTACTACTACTACCACCACTACTACTACTACTACTACTACTACTACTACTACTACTACTACTACTACTACGACTACTACTACTACTACTACTACTACTACTACTACTACTGGAGGCGACGTGTTTGATCTCGAAGTGGATTTTCATGAACTCCATGATGGCCTGGCGGCTCAGGCATTGCGCGGACACCATCGCTGAGTCGTGGCGTCGCTGGCGCGCCCCAGCCCTTGGCTTGATCCAGTAGCTGCGCGGACACGGGAACGGCGGGAGCCCAGAACCGGAGCTCGTACTCAGAGTTAAAAATGGTAAAAAAATGTATTGGAAATGGTAAAAACATGGTCGAAATCAGGCCCAGAGGCCCCCTGGCCGTTTGGGGAAGCTCTGCTGGCTGCTTTCTGGTGGCTGCTCTCACTGCGCGCGCAGCCGCTGGATCAAGCCAGCCGCTGGAGCTCGGCAAAGGGCTGGGCGCAAACCAGTAGTAGTAGTAGTAGTAGTAGTAGTAGTAGTAGTAGTAGTAGTAGTAGTAGTAGTAGTAGTAGTAGTAGTAGTAGTAGTAGTAGTAGTAGTAGTAGTAGTAGTAGTAGTAGTAGTAGTAGTAGTAGTAGTAGTAGTAGTAGTAGTAGTAGTAGTAGTAGTAGTAGTAGTAGTAGTAGTAGTAGTAGTAGTAGTAGTAGTAGTAGTAGTAGTAGTAGTAGTAGTAGTAGTAGTAGTAGTAGTAGTAGTAGTAGTAGTAGTAGTAGTAGTAGTAGTAGTAGTAGTAATAGTAGTAGTAGTGGTAGTAGTGGTAGTAGTGGTAGTAGTGGTAGTAGTAGTAGTAGTAGCAGTAGTAGTAGCAGTAGTAGTAGTAGTAGTAGTAGTAGTAGTAGTAGTAGTAGTAGTAGTACTAGTAGTACTAGTAGTACTGGTAGTAGTACTCGTACGGTAGAGATCTGACCTGGAAATGACAAAAAATGATCTGGAAATGAAATAAAAATGATTCATTTTTGTAGCATTTCTGATTTTTATGTTGAGATCTAAAAATGGTAGAAAAATGATTTTCAAGATGCCGAGCTGGAAATGGTGAAAAAATGCCCAGACCATTTTTAACGCCAACTCGTCATCATCGTCATCACCATGATCATCATCGACACCATCGACGTCATCATCATCACCACCATCATCATCATCATCATCATCATTCTCATCATCATCATCCTCGTCATCATCATCATCGCTGTCATCACCCCTCACACGCTTCGTGGCCCCATAGGGAGCTCCACCGAAGGCCTCAGTGTTGCCGCCCGCATGCGTCCTGCACACCCATTTCGGCACACCCCTCACACGGTTCGTGGCCCCATAGGGAGCTCCACTAAAGGCTTCAGTGGCAGGGTTCGCATGGCGGCCCCGCCCCATTTTGGCGCACCCTTCACACGGTTCGTGGCCCCATAGGGAGCTCCACCGAAGGCCCCAGTGGCAGGGTTCGCATGGCGGCCCCGCCTCATTTTGGCGCACCCCTCACACGGATCGTGGCCCCATACGGAGCTCCACCGAAGGCCCCAGTGGCAGGGTTCGCATGGCGGCCCCGCCTCATTTTGGCGCACCCCTCACACGGTTCGTGGCCCCATAGGGAGCTCCACCGAAGGCCCCAGTGGCAGGGTTCGCATGGCGGCCCCGCCTCATTTTGGCGCACCCCTCACACGGATCGTGGCCCCATAGGGAGCTCCACCGAAGGCCCCAGTGGCAGGGTTCGCATGGCGGCCCCGCCCATTTTGGCGCACCCCTCACACGGTTCGTGGCCCCATAGGGAGCTCCACCGAAGGCCCCAGTGGCAGGGTTCGCATGGCGGCCCCGCCCATTTTGGCGCACCCCTCACACGGATCGTGGCCCCATAGGGAGCTCCACCGAAGGCCCCAGTGGCAGGGTTCGCATGGCGGCCCCGCCTCATTTTGGCGCACCCCTCACACGGTTCGTGGCCCCATAGGGAGCTCCACCGAAGGCCCCAGTGGCAGGGTTCGCATGGCGGCCCCGCCTCATTTTGGCGCACCCCTCACACGGATCGTGGCCCCATAGGGAGCTCCACCGAAGCCCCCAGTGGCAGGGTTCGCATGGCGGCCCCGCCCCATATTGGCGCACCCCTCACGAGGATCGTGGCTCCGTGGGGAGCTCCACCGAGGGCCACAGTGGCAGGGTTCGCATGGCGGCCCCGCCCCATTTCGGCACACCCCGCACGAGGATCGCGGCCCCATAGGGAGCTCCACCGAAGGCCCCAGTGGCAGGGTTCGCATGGCGACCCCGCCCCAGGTCGGCGCACCCCTCACGAGGATCGTGGCCCTGTGGGGAGCTCCACCGAAGGCCCCAGTGGCAGGGTTCGCATGGCGGCCCCGCCCCATGTCGGCGCACCCCTCACGAGAATCGTGGCCCCATAGGAAGCTCCACCGAAGGCCCCAGTGGCAGGGTTCGCTTGGCGGCCCCGCCCCATATTGGCACACCCCGCACACGGTTCGTGACCTCATAGGGAGCTTCACCGAAGGCGCCAGTGGTAGGGTTCGCATGACGGCCCCGCCCCATGTCGGCACACCCCTCACGAGGATCGGAGTAATCATTTTTTGTCAGAGTTCCGGGGCCCGAAGGCGGACCCAGGGGGCCGAGATCGAAGGCCAGAGGCGAGCCCACACAGCGCGTGAGCGAGCCCAGATCTAGCTGGGAACGGGAAAGAGGGCCCCCTCCCCCTCCTCCTCCTTTCCCTCCTACTCGCTTCCTTCTCTTTGTTGCCCGCGCGCAGCATCATTGTCCATGTTTGTTGAGTCCACTTAACTGTGAAGCCATCCATTGCAAAGAATCCGAACCATCGCGGCGTGTGGCTTGCCCCGACCGGTGCCTAGGATTCTTGAGCGACGGGTGTCCTCATGGCTTCTCCACCAGTACAAACGGACCCATAAAGCCATGAACATTGATGTTCGCTTGTCGGGGATCCCTCGCCGCCGCCGCCGCCGTCGTCGTCGCCGCCGTCGTCGTCTGGCCCCGATCTGCTTATGGCTCTGCTTCATGTCCTCCTCATCCTCCCCCTGCTCCTCCTCCGACCTGTCTTCCGTAGCCGCTTTGGCTCGCCACTTCGACCGTGGCCGTTTTGGCTGAAAATTCAGAGGCCGAAGACGCTGAAAAACTTCCACATTGAAAACATCACGACGTGAGAGATCTGGACAGATGTCGTCGCCGTCGTCGTCGTCGCCGCCGCCGCCGCCGCCGGAAGCGGGCCCCTGCCCCCCAACAAATTTATTCGGAACGGGCCCCCGGACCTTTCCCGTCGTCGTCGCCGTCGCCGCCCTCTCCGCCGCCGCCGCCGCAGCCGCCGCCGTCCTCGTTGTCATCGTCGTCGTCGTCGTCGTCGTCGTCGTCGTCGTCGAGGTCGTCGTCGGCGTCGTTGTCGTCGTCGTCGTCGTCGTCGCCGCCGCCGCCGCCGTTGTCATCGTCGTCGTGGTCGTCGTCGTCGGTGCCGTCGTCGTCGTCGTCGTCGTTGTCGTCGCCGTCGTCGTCGTCACCGTCGTCGTCGTCGTCGTCGCCGCCGTCGTCGTCGTCGTCGGCGTCGTCGTCGTCGTGTTGCGTCGTCGTCGACGTCGTCGTCGCGCCGCTGTCGACGCCGACGCCGCCGCCGCCGTCGTCGTCGTCGCCGTTCACAAGAGCGCGTTCTGATGGGTTGCGTTTCACGTCGTGTGCGTGCTTTCACGGGCGCCACTAACGCCGATTTTTCAATTCCGCGCCCTGCCAGGTAGATGGGGCTTGCCATGCGTGCGCGGAGAGTTTTCGAATGTGTAGAAGGACAAGACCATCGCGGATTTTTGAAAATTGGTTCTTGGGGGTCGTTGGGGCGTTCGCCTTGCGGTGTCACTAACGCCGATGTTTCAATTCCGCGCCCAGCCAGGTAGATGGGGTTCGCCATGCGTGCGTGGAGAGTTTTCGAATGCGTGGAAGGACAAGACCATCGCGGATTTTTCCGATGATCGCCGGCTCCGGGAGGAGAGGTTCCAGAACGGCCACATGATCGGGTCCTACTGGGACACCGTGGCGCGGTGGATGAACATGCGTGCTCAGCGGGACGCGGACGTCCTGAAGAAGCCCCTCTTCCTCGTGCAGGCCGCCGACAGGTCTGCGCCGACGATGAGCGTCAAGGACGCCGCCAAGATGATGAACAGTGCCAACCCGAAGAACACTGGTGGCATGCACGGGCTGCTCCCGGTGCACGTGGGCATGCGGATCCGGCTCCTGGAAGCGCTCGACCTCAAGAACGGCCTCGTCAAGGATGCCGAGGGGCAGATCGTGCACATCGTCGTGGACCCTCGAGATCGGGACGACGTCGAGAGAGCCGAGAGAGAGGGGGAGAAGATGATCTACCTGAAGCGCTTGCCGCTGGGGTTCTGGGTGCGCATGGAGAAGTACGCGAGCGCGCCCTTCGTGGACGACCTGCAGCGCCACGACGACAGCCTCACGGGGGACCTCGCGGGCCGGTGGTGTTCATCGAGCCCCGCACGTCGGAGCCGTTCACCTTCCGCACCTCCAAGGTCACGCGGACGGGCTTCCCGTTCTCGCACGGCAGGGTCATCACCACGGTGGCGTGCCAGGGGCGCACCATGCGAGAAGGCGACGGGGCGGGGGAACGGCGCTCCGGGAACGGCCAGACCTCCGGGGCGCGAGCAATCCGCGGCCAGACCTCGGCCCCGCGGACTCTCGCCCTGGGCCGTCAGCTGCCCGGCGCACTGCCCCCTCGGCCGACGTCGCCCAGGCGTGATTCTGGACTGCGGCCGCCACGAGGTCGGGAACGGCAAGAAGGAGGACGACGACTGGTGGCTGGAGCTCTATGTGCTGCTCTCGCGCGCCACGCGCCACGAGGACCTCCTGCTCATGCGGGCGCCGCGCATCGAGTTCTTCCTGGCAGGGCCGCCGGAGGGCTTGCGGAAGCAGCTGGAGCAGTTTGCGGCGCGCACGAAGCGTTGCAGGAGGGAGGCGACGGCCCTCGCCGGGGAGCTCGGCTTCACCGAGTTTATCCGCGAGGCCTGACCTGAGGAGCGTCCCCCCCGAGCCGCGCCTTCTCTCGACTGCCCGACTCTTTGTTTGGCCTCGCGCCGCGGACGACCCGCGCGCGTCGCTGGGACCCTCTCGGGGCGACCTGCGCGCGTCGCGGGAACTCCATGCTGCGGGGCGCCCGGCGCCTCGTTCGCCCGTCGTCGCTCTGCCCAGCAGTCAGAGCCTTGCCCGCTATCAGCCAGCCAGTTAGCTAGCCAGCTCTCTGCTCCGCGCAGCAGACGACCCGCGCGCGTCGCTGGGACCCCGCCTGGGGCGACCGGCGCGCGTCGCGGGGACTCCGCGCTGCGCTGCGCCCGCAGCCTTGGATTTTTGGTGTGCGCGGGCAAAGAGGGAGGAAAAGGAGGGACGAAAGCGGGCGCGATCCTCGCAAGGGGCGTGCCGACATGGGCGTCGCGGCGTGCGGGCGCTGCCGTCGGGGTTCCCGCGGAAGCTGCCTGCGGCGGCCACGCCCGGAGTCACGAGCGTTCGGACAGGCATGCCCGAACCATTCACATTAATATACATTTACATTAAGCGTAGCCATGATCGCATCCACGCAAATCTACTCGCTCCCACGCAGACTCATTCACACTCAGACTCACTCACGCTCTGACTCGCCCGCGTTCAGTCTCTGGGTTTTCGACCTGTCGTATTCCTTTGCGTTGTGTACCCCGCCACAGTTCGGCACACCCCTCATACGGTTCGTGGCCTCATAGGGAGCGCCACCGAAGAAAATATTCACAATTGCGGTACGCACAACTGCATATGGTTGGGTCCTTCGCCAGGATAATTTCAAAATGCGGCTGTCGTCTTCGCGCCGCGCACATTTGTTCAAAAACATTCGCAAGAACTTCACGGATGGAGAGCGGTTGGTTTCCAAACTGTCGCTCTCGCCTCAGCGCCGCGCACATTCTTCCTAAACGAATGCAACACCTTCACGGATTGAGGGCGGGCCGTTTCCACAATGTGGGTCTCGCCTTATCGCCGCGCACATTCACTCAACACATTGCAAGAATTTGATGGGTTGAGGGCGGGTCACTTTCAAAGTCTGGCTCTCGCAATATCGCCGCAACCATTCATGCTAAACATGCGTAACCATTCCACTGATTTGCATGGGTATCTTACTGATAGAAATGGTGTTGTGGAACGTTTCAGGGTTGTTAGGGCGCGACAGTTACGCTGATTCGCGCTGTTGAAGTCACAAGGATAATGTCCTGGCACGGCTCAGGACCGCCAACACGCATCTGTCAGGTTAACTCGTGGCGTTGAAGTGATGAGAACGGTGCTTTGGCACGCTTCAAGATGTTCGCACAGTTGTCCTCCAACGGGACACTTCCCTCAATGGAAATTGCCCGTTGTAGGGGCCTATGGAGAGGGATCTTGGAGTAAGAGTGAATTTCAACATCGTTGATGAGTCTTGGGTCTACTCTGGTCGTCCTGCTCCTCCTCCTTCTCCTCCTCCTCCTCCCCATCCCTCGAACCCTCGTCCTCGTCGCCGTCTTCCTCCTGCTCTCGTACGGATGTTTGGGGAACTTCCGAGCTCACCGGAGGGTCTCAGAAAGACTTGGGATGGCTCATGGAGGCCCCGCGGAAGCCTTCGGGGGGTCCCTGGAGGTCCCTCTAGGCAAAGAAAAAATCAAACATATTCAAAAGAAGCGGGGGGGGCAACAGGAGGATCATGAGGATGAGGCGCAGGAGTAGGGGGGGGATGCAAGATGCAAACGGGCCTGGTCACGAGTCTCTCGAAGCTTGCGACTGCTACGGGTAGTGCAGATCCATGGCTATTCATGTCTGCACTTCGCGCCAGGAAAGCGTCTTCGCTGGGCGAAGGAGGGGGAGGGTGTAAGCAGACCTGGTCTGGCTACGAGTCACTCCAAGCTTGCGACTGCTAATGATAATTCAGAGCCATGGTTGTTCATGTCTGCACTTTGCGTCAGGAGGGAGATCCGCTGGGCACAAGCCTCTGGAGGCGTCTCTACTTCTGAGTGGTCATCTTCTCCCAGTAAGCCTCCGACAGCATGCCCCGCTCGCCCCAGATGCTTGACGTAGAAATTCAGGTACAAGGTGCCCTGCTGTGTACGTCCATGCACGACCTTCAGCTCGAGCCTACCGAGACTGATCCATTCTGGAGTCTCCTCGACATCACTTTGCGATTTGTAGTGGTACCCTCCGGGCTGTTTCGTCTCTGCCCAAGCCCCTGTCACGTTCAGCTTTTGGAAGTACATATCCGAGCACTGCCCACCCAATCGCTTCGCCTCGGCCTCCACGTGAAGCAGCGTGCTCCGGGCAGGCTCCCCGCGGGGAATGTGAATCAGAACGTGCCTGCCCGGCTTCATCACGTCGAACCGCTCGCCGTGGATATTCTGCAGATGGGGATCGCCAGTGGCAGCGGCCCCGCCCGAACTTGGAGCTGCGATGGGGAAGCCAGAAGCCGTGCTGGCCGCAGAGGTTGGAGCCAGCACCTTGGCACAGATAAACTCGGCGGTGGCTTGATTGCTCGCATAATACCCGTACCAACTGCTACCCCATGCGCCCCACCCACCATCCCATTTTGCACAGCTGCCGCCCCAGTTGACGGACGCCCAAGGGCCCGGCGTGAGCCCGAGCGCACTTCCAGCAACATCACACTCTGAGGTGGAAGAGATAGCGGCATATCCGGCGGGGCACGACCCGGCTGCCAGAGAGTATGCGTCCGAGGGCTGAGAATGATGCTTACGATGGATCATGATCGCTTGCACTTGCGTTCCCACGTGTGCAGATGTACACAACATCACGTGGACGAAATAGTGGGCGGAGACCATGGTAGATGTACGTAGTAGTGTGCAGGTGTAGTAATGTGTGATTGCGATGCAGCGTCTGGGTAGTCGAATCGAGCGCCCTGAGCTGAAATGGCTTACGACAACAAGCACGGCGGAGACCTTTGACGTAGCGTTGTTTCCACGACGCGCCCCCTGATACTCTCGACTCCACTCCCAGGGCTCCATTTTGGCACGCCCCTCACACGCTTCGTGGCCTCATAGGGAGCCTTGACGAAGGCCGCAGCGGCAGCAACCAGATGCGCCACCCAGCCAGTTATGACATTCCTCACACGTTGCCGTGGCGGCAGGAGTCACATGCGCCCCCCCGTTCATTTCGTCACACCCCTCACTCACTTCGTGGCCCCATGAGGAGCCCCAGGTAAGGCTCACATGCCAGCGTTCGTATGGCGGTGACGCCTCGTTTCGGCACACATACACACACACACACCCCACACGTGTCGTGGCCCCAAAGGGGGCTCCAACTAGAGCCCACATAGTATCGTTTGCATGGCGGCGCCGCGTTATTTCGGCACACTCCTCACACGTTGACGCCCGAATGCCACCGTTGGCGTGACGGCGCCGCCTCTTTTCGGCACACCCTGACACGCTTCATGGCCCCATGAGGAGCTCCAACTTCGGCCCAAAAACTAGCGTTCGCATGGCGGCGCCACCTCATGTCTGCACACCCCTCACACGCTTCGTGGCTCCACCGGGAGCTCCAACTAAGGCCTAACTGGCAGCCTTTTCATGGCGACGCCGCTTCATTTCGGCACACCACGGCCCCACAGAGAGCTCCAAGAGAGGCCCACATTCCAGCGCTCGCATGGCGGCGCCGCCTCGTTTCGGCGCACCCCTCACACGCTTCGTGGCTCCACGGTCCACGGGGAGCTACAACTGAGGCCTACATGCCAATCTTCGCCTGGCGGCGTCACCTCCATGTCGGCACACCCCTCACACGTCTCACCCGCTGCTGATCCGGCACGTCCCTCACGGCTCGTGGCCCCGCAGGGAGCTCCGCCACGCGCTCCGCGGTGTCATAGGGGGAGCTCGCCCCCGAACAGCACAGTGGCTGCGGGTTCGCACGGCGGCGCCGCACCACCCGTGTTTCACCCATAGGCCCTCGTGCCCGCCCCGCTCCTTCTTGTCACGTGCCTCGCGAGACTCGCAACTGCATGTGGTAGGTACGTGCGGCGTCGGCGCGCGCAAAGGTTTTTGACACCGCGTCGATCGTTCAACCTTGAATCGATCGCGGCCCCATCGTTCAAGGTTGAATTCCGTCGGGCCCAATGGCGTTATCGTGCCCCTCGGTGCTTCCGCGTCGCAGAACTCCACCTCGAACGCCTTCGCCGGCGTCGCCGGCGCGCCAACGCCGCACAAACCTGCTGTATGGTTGGGCCCTTCGCCGGGCTGATTTTCACCACGCGCCCCCTGGTGCTCTCGACTCCATTCACGGGACTTCTTTCTCGGGAGCGGCCAAGAGGGGGGTGTCCAAGAGGGGGGGGTGCAAATCATGCCCGGCGGCATGTGCGCGGCCCAGCGGGGGGGCCAGGGACGTAATGAAATAAGAAGAGGCGCCACGAAATCTGGGGAGATATCATGGCCCCCGCCATGATATCCACTCCCCCCTAGTCATCATCACCCCCTCTTCTCCGTCTCCGACTTGTGCTCTCGACTCCATTCCCGGGACTTGCCTCTCATCGTGGATTGTTTCCGTGGACGGCCCTGGGTCCCTGGGAGCTCCACCGGGAGGCCGGAACGCGCCGACCCTCGCCTGCAGAGGGACGGAGGGTGAAAGGGCAAGGCGTGCGAGATGACTGGCTGTCCCCCGCTCTTCCTGGTTGGGGCGGGAGCATCGGAGTGTGGGCTCGACTTCCCCTCCCCAGGCCCCTCTTGGGGTCGTCTTGGGCGGCACCGGGTGCATCCTTTGCCATGCGGGCCCCCATGAGGCGGATGCCTGGAAGTGTAAGTTCGGATTCCCCCCCCCAGGGCTCTTGGGTCCGTCTTGGGCGGTCCTGGGTGCCACATAGGTCGTCTTTTGGCTCTCTTGGGCTTTCTCAGGGCCGTTTTGCGGCTCTGGGGCAACAACCGTCATCGTCGTCGTCATCGCCATCATCATCATCATCATCATCATCATCATCATCATCATCATCATCATCATCATCATCATCATCATCATCATCATCGTCATCATCATCGTCATCTTCGTCACCAGCAGTATCCTCATCATCCTCATCAGTATCATCAGCATCATCATCATCATCATCATCATCATCATCATCGGTATCATCAGCTTCTTCATTATCATCATCGTCATCATCAGCCTCTTCATCATCATCATCATCATCATCATCATCATCATCATCATCATCATCATCATATTCATCATCATCTTCATCATCATCATCATCGTCATCATCATCCTGATCAGCATCATCAGCATCATCATCATCATCATCATCATCATCATCGTCATCAATATTACCATCGTCATCATTATCATCACCACTGCAATCATCATCGCAATGATCATCATCATCATCATCATCATCATCGCCACCATTACCATCACCATCACCATCACCATCGCCACCATCATCATCGTCATCATCAGCATCATCATCGTTATTTCTGTATTAATCAGCATCATCCTCCTCATCCTCATCCTCATTGTCGTCGCCGTCGCCGCAATCATGATCATTTACATCATCATCATCATCATCATCATCATCATCATCATCATCGCCAACAACAACAGCAACATCGTCGTCGTCATCCTCGTCGTTATTGTCATCTTCACCATCATCGTCGCCATCGCCGTCATTATCATCGCCATCATCAACAGCATAACCATTCTCGCCAGCACCACTTTGGCAGATCTCTCACACGTAGCGTTGCGCCATAGGGAGCTCCACCGAAGGCCGCAGTGGCAGGGACTACATGACTTACCCAACCTCTTTGGCACACCCCTTGCATGTTTCGTGGCCCCATAGGGAGCTCCACCGAAGGCCACAGTAGCCGGGAACATATGCGCCCCCGCCCATTTCGGCACACACCCCACCCTTTTCGTGGCCACATAGGGAGCTCCACCACAGGCCGCAGCGACAGCAATTGCGTTCCCCCGTCATTGTTGCATACCCCTCACACGTCCCGTGGCCACAGGGAACTCCACCGAAGGCCACAATGCCAGCAACGAACTGTGCCCCCAAACCAACTTTGTCTCACGCCTTTCACGCTTCGTGGCCCCATAAGGAGCCATACCAAAGGCCGCAGCGGCAGGACACACAAGCGCACCCCCCGCCAATGTTGCGTCCATTTTGGTACACCCCTCACACGCTTCTTGGCCCACTAGCGAGTTCCTCCAAAGGCCACAGTCGCAGGAGTCACATGGGTCCCCAGGCCAACGTTGGCATACCCGACACGCGGCCCGTGGCCCCATAGGCAGCTCCACAGAAGGCCACACTGGCAGGAATCACATGCCAATGTCGGCACGCTTCCCACGCATCGCGGCTTCACAAGGAGCCTTACAAAGTCCGCAGCGGCATGAACCACATGCGCCCCGCAGCCCACTGGACCACTGGACATTTCCTGACACGTTGCCGCAGTGGCGGGGGTCAGATGCGCCCCCCCGCCCATTTCGTCACACCCTTCTGGCACGCTTCGTGGCCCTCGAGGGAGCTCCAAGTAAGGCCCACATGCAAGCGTTCGCACAGCGGTGCCGCCTCATTTCGGTACACACACACGCACACGTGTAGTGGCCTCATATGGGGGCTTCAGCTAAGGCCCAAATGCCAGCGTTCGCATGGCGGCGCCGCCCCGTTTCGGCACACACACACACACACAAACGCTACACGTTCAGGCCCACATGTCAGCGTTCGGGCGGCGGCCGCCGCCTCGTTTCGGCACACTACGGCCCCATGGGGAGCTCCAAGAAAGGCCTCACATGCCAGCGTTCGCGTGGCGGTGCTGCCTCCACTTCGGCACACCCCTCACACGTTTCGTAGCCCCGGAGGGCGCTCCAACCGATGCCCAGACGCAGGCTTTCGCACGGTGGCGCCGACTCCGCTTCGGCACACCCCTCACGTGTTCCACCCGCTCCCGATTCGGCACACCCCGGACCCCTCACGACGCGAGCGTGGCCTCCTAAGGGAGCTCCGCCGATGGCCTCACTGGCCGCGTCCGCACGGCGGCGCCGCGCCACGCCGCTCGCGGGAGCCCACCCTCACGCGGCTCGTGGCCCCGGAGGGAGCGGACCCGAAGGCCCCCGTGGCCGCGCTCGCACGGCGGCGCCGCGCCCGTTGCACCTGCGCGTCCTTCGCTGGCGCCCCCCCCTTCGTGTC